AGTTAGTGGAATTATATCCTTCCTGTAGAATTTTTAAACTGCTTGTTTGAATTTTTAAACTGCTTGTTATTAGAGAGTGATATTCCTGCTATAGACACCCATAGGTTAGTTTAAAATCATTTTAAAAGGTTACCATGTTCTACTAGATTCTATAGGACTTTTCCCTAAGGTATTTTATTCCTGAATGTATAAATATTCATAATGGAAGATGATTAAACTCTTTTGTTTTATGACTCTCTGAGAGCTCATGTGTGTGAGAGCAGATCTGTTCTTCAGGGATATTACCTGCTGAGCTCCCATTCACTGCAGTAAGGCAGTGACTATTGGATTTCAGGGGCACTGTCAGACCATCACTGGCCAGCCTCTACTCTAAGTGTGCTAACCCTGGAGAGGAGTTGCCTGACTCATGGGGAACTGTGTTTCTAAATCTCTGACTGCTGCAAAGGGAGAATCACCTGGTAAGGCCACTTTTAAAAAGTTGGGGGGTTTAATTGAGAGTGACTTTATTGCTCACAGAGAAGACGAGCTGTTGGTACAAACCCAGCTAGACACAGTGTAGAGAAGTGCTGTGCAAGCCTCCACCACAGTTTGAAAACAAACTCCAGCTCTGCCCTGCAAATTACTCCCTGCCCCACCATCACCACTCATTCCCAGGTCCTCACATCATTCTAACACAATTCTGTCTCGCCTCCCCCCTCCTCTCTCCAGTGCTGGGCGTCCACACAGCTCTGCCAATACATCGCAGTCTTTGCATCCAGTGCCTACCTTCTAGTACCATTCCTTGGCCCTTCATATGGATGTGCCAACACACCTTAGCCCTGTAGGTAACATCATCTGCAGTCCAGTTGTGGGTCTCCCATACTCAACTCAACCATGAACATACAGGCACTCAGTAACCCTGACACACCTCTGTCAATGCAGCCCTGAGTCCCTGTCCTGGACTGGGTCTCCTAGGGCATAGAATAAAAGTGATACACACAGGAAGAGAGAATCTTTCCCCCCATATCTCTTCCTCCTTGTCTTGATCTGAGAACTGCGTGGTCAGGGCCGGCTTTAGGAAGTGCGGGGCCCGATTCGAACAGTTTCGACGGGGCCCCGGCAGAGAACACATAAAAAAAACACGCGGGGCTTGTACTCACCCAGCCGTGCTCCTAGTCTTTGACGGCGGGTCCTTCACTCACTCCGGGTCTTCGGCGGCACTGAAGGACCCGCCGCCAAAGACCCGGAGCGCCTCCAGGTGAGTAAAAATTAAAAAGGTGCCTCTAGCCAGGGAAGGGATTCTCTGCCACTTGCCCCCCAATCTGGGCAGCCCTGCCACTGGACGCAGGGCCCTCTTAGGCGTGGGGCCCGATTCGGGGGAATTGGTGGAATTGGCCTAAAGCCGGCCCTGTGCGTGGTCCTTAAGTGTTTGTGCTGAATGGACCCCCTCCTTTTGTGTGCATTTCTTCTGCTCTCCCCAGTGGGACAGAAGACAGCAGCAACCCAAGGGTATGGAAAGAAATGAGTACTTTAGCTCTAAATGCTTCACAACGAGGGGCTAGAAACACTGTTCATTCTCTGATGCTTGCACTGAACAAAGATTGCTGGTAGCCAGCATATTTTCTTATTTTTAAACCCAGACTACAGAGGGAGGAAAGCGGAGGGGGAGAGTGTTTAAGTGACAGGTGACAATGTCCATCACACTGCCCGGTGATGAAGCACAGAGGATAAAAATAGAGAGCATGACCTCATGGCTTTTGGTAGAGATGCCTAAGAGACAAAAGAGGCTTTAAAAGGCTTGTGGAGCTGATAGCAAAGGGCTTGGACGCTTGAGAGTTTTGGTTCTGCTCCAGCCGGGAGCTGCTCTGCCTCTCTCTCTATGGAGAGCTGTGAGTTAAATGGACTTTGTGACATGCCCAAGTCTCCAGGCCTGGACGCTGCTTTCAAGAGCTTGGATCAGCCCTATGCAGGTACAGACTTCCTTCCTTCCTCTGCTCTCCTAGCCAAACTTTAACTCGTTGCCAGAAGAGCATTTTCCTCTCCCATTTGTCTCAAATTGCTGTTGGCCTTTGTGACTTGAATACTTTGAACATTGTGCCGGGGGTGGGGAAGGATTTAAAGTGCAAAGAATAAAGTGCTTTCTATTGGTGAGCTGGGGAGTAGGAACTGGGGGATGGGCAGGAAGCCAGGGTGTCATGAAGGGGCTTAGCAATTATCTGTAAAGGGCCAAGGAACCTCAAAGCACAGAGAGTCTAGTTCTAATGAACGCTGAGGAGGCTGGAATCTTGGAACGATGCAAGATGCTGGGAGCAAACTTGTGACTGGTGGGAAGCTGCATCTGGATATTGTTACTGAGGCAGGGCCCAGTGTTGGTGGAATCACACCCTGGCTGCTTTTAAGCCTCTCCTAGTAGGGGTTTCCAAGCCCCAAACTCCAGAGCTAAGACCCTTCATGATGCTCTGCTGCCACCTGTGCCTGCACAGACCTTAGCATTTGAAGGCACCGCTCCTTAGCCACAGCTTGCCAATGCCAGAAGTCTCCCCCTCACAGCCCACAGGGCGAATGTCTCTGGACAGTGAGGCTGGCTTCACCTCTGGGGCCCTGCTTTTAGCCTCAACAGGTTTGGAACCAGAACTTGAGCCAGGCAGGGTTCCCTTGATAGGGTGAGTGACTGAGACTAGCCAGTGGAGGTCTGCTCTGTGAGGGAAATCTCACTGCTCTCCCCTACTGTGCGCTTGAGAGAAAACTGAGTTGTGACTGTAGCCCTGTGGCCCCACTCCCCCCAGCTGACTCCAGAAGGGCAAAGCTAGGGGAGCACCAAGACGCAGTGAAAGTATGTGAACTATGAGTCTTGAGTCAATGATGCTGAACTGACCCACTCTGGAAGAGTGGGGGGAGGGGTTCCTAGCTCAGCGCATGCCAGTGCAAAAGGGGCACCCATTCTTTTGCCGTTAGCATACTGGCATTTTTGCTCATTATTTCCAGCCCTTTAGGTGCAAGGGGAGAGGGCTGGCTCTTGTGTACGGAGTGAGAAGCTGCTGACCTTTTCCTTGCTGGATCTCCGTCTGGAGCTGCCTCGCTGTAGCTAACCTGGAGCCATGATGTTTGTTATGAAATGGCTCCAGGCAAAGCCTGGTGAGGGGACTTTCATTGAATTTATTGAAAGCTTCCTAGCATCACAACCCCTCTGACATTCCAGAGCCTGTTTTGGAAGCCTGGGGTGGGAGTGGATGATATTCCTGAATGGGGTGACCGGGAGCCTCAGGGACCAAATGACACATGCTACAGCTTTGTGACCTTTGCAGATGGGCTGCTTGAGGGTGGGAAGGGGGAGAGGGAAACTACGGCCCCAGAGGTGATACAGAGGGCCCAAGAGGACTCATTGGTATCATGGTTAGGCAAGCTCTGTGCCCACTGCTGCCCTCCCCCGTTGTGGGCTAACTTGGCCACAGCTGTTCTTCCCTGTTGCAACAATGCCCTGGAGTAAAGTGGCCCCAGGTGAGATCTGTGAGGCTGCACAGTTCAGGTCCTGGGGAGAACTAGCAGCATTCCTCAGCAGTACATTAGTGCCTCTCCTATCCCACCCCACTAGATCCAGTGGGGGTCGCCTTAGCAGGACTGCGTATTGTGTCTTTGCCGCAGGAATGCTGGGGCTCGAAGGACAGGGGAAGGTGCTGTGCAGTTTATTGACCTGTGAGTGGAAGCTTACTGAGAGCATCTTTGTCCTCTCTCCTGGTGCTGCTCGAAGCACAGAGGATGCTGTTAAAGGGATGCAGGGCAGATGAGAAGCAGGGAAAGGTCTTTTCCCCCAGTGGAAAGGGTCAGGAGCAAGAAAAAGGAATGAGAAATCACTTGGAGATTATTTTTTCTTTCAGATTTCAGAGTCCAAGTCTCTAGTTGTGCCTATGAACTCTCTTCTCACAGCTGCCCTTGGGTTCACCCTTGACTCTTTCAGAGCTCCCCCCTCACCTTGCACACTGGGCAGAGAACACACTGTCCCATCATATGGGCTTTGCTGGTCAGCAGGCTGGCAGAGGTGGTGGAAAATGATTAGCCTGTGTTTTTCGGCCAAGGCCCCGACAGGTGTTGGCTTTTCCAGTAGCGAAGGCCATGGGAGACCCTGTGCAAAAGGATTCTTTCTGGCCTGGCTGACCAGTTCTGAAGGGCAGGCAGCTGGGATTCCTGCTCATGTGCATAGTGACTCTGTCCTGGCTGGGCACAGGCAAGAGGTTATGGGAGAGCGTGAAACATTGCTCTCACGGCTGCAGGTTTTGTACTGTCCTTATCGCACTTTTCAGGGGGCAGTGAAGGTGCGCTCACAGTATCACGATAGCACTCAGTGCTGACACTGTCCAGCCCAGTTCACAGGCAGCCCACAAGGGGCTAGGGAGGGGGGAGCAAGACGCTTTCCTGCCCTTGCACACCTGGGCGGGGCCTGCTCACCCTAGTGGTTGCTGCATTCTGGGGATCACTGGGACTGCTTGTTCCCGCTTCTCCCAGGAAGCAGGGCTCTGAAAAGAGAGGGACATGTCTCTGGCCAGCCCTCCCAGCAGGGCTTCCCACGGGTGACCACAAGCTGCTCCACCCTGGTGCAAATTGCAAAGTGCGGGTTGAAATGTCCTGATGAGTAACAGGAACAATTTTCTGCGGACACATATCCACAAAACAACCCCTCAGGAAATTCAGTCAGACCCTTGGCCATCTCTGTTAAGAGAAAGCACTGGGTCTGAGCAGGTAACAGGGACTGAGCCATCTCTGACCTCTGCCACAGGCTGGCTGTCCGGAAGGTGAGGGTCCCTGGCAGTAGGTGGGGAATCCCGTCCCACGGTGTGTGCATGGAAAAAGAGAGGGCTGCAATTTTCATTATGTTCATGTCATTTTTTCCTAACGTTCTGGTCGGGGTGAGGTGGGAGTGACTCTCATTGTATGGACACCAGAAACACTCAGTCCAGTGGTTGCCAAAGCTTTGTATGTCCAGTTCTCTATGGAGCCCTGAACTTGCCTCCTTTTTTCCCTTGTAGAGTTGCACCGCAGTGAGAGCACACAGGAGAAGAATGTGAAAGAAGCCAAAACCAAATGCAGGACGATTGCGTCCCTGCTGACGGATGCACCAAACCCTCACTCCAAGGGCGTGCTGATGTTCAAGAAGCGCAGGCAGAGAGCTAAGAAGTATACCCTGGTCAGTTTTGGGAGCGTTGACGAGGACCGCTGTTACGAGGAGGAGGATGGTGTCTTCCCAACCAGTGAGTCAGAATTTGATGAGGAAGGCTTCTCAGATGCCCGAAGCTTAACCAACCACTCGGATTGGGACAACACTTACCTGGACATTGAAAAGCCCAAGCCAGAGTCTGAGCAGCAGCTGGGGCAGACGCAGCAGGGTCTGAGTGAAGCCTCCGGCAGAGGAGCACGGTTATTTGAGCAGCAGAGGGAGAGGTCTTGTCAGTATATGGTGGAGAAAGCCCCAGCTCAGAAGCCTGAGAGCCATCAGCCACCGCCAGGTGTCGTGCCAAAGCAGAGCATGATGAATGGAGAAGTGCCTACTCCACAGAAGGCCAACACGGCCCCACTGAGTATCCATGTGGAAGCAGTACAGTTATCCAGCAAGCTGCCATCATCTACCTCTGCTCAGGTCCAGTCTCCACTGGGCAGCATTGGAGGAGGTGCCCAGCCATCTCCAGGCACAGAGGGCCTCTTCAACAGATCCGCACGGCCTTTCACTCCTGGATTTTCAGGGCAGCGTCCTGTGACTTCCTCTGTCATCTTCAGGCCTTTGGCTCCCAAGAAAAGTGGTGGCAGTCTAGGGGGGCAGAGCACCGCTGCTCCACCTTTCTCACCAGGAACTCCTGTGCCACCTCCCACTACACCAGTGATGGCACACAATGGTCCAGCAAGCTCCTCAACATCTCTGTATATTCCAGCACCAGGCAGTCCAACACCACCAGGGGTACCACAGCCAGGCACAGGCGGAACTGCTCCTGAGACTAAGACACACACAAACCCAGCCATGACCTCCACAGCTTCCATAATTCTAACCACTCCCTCTAAGCCAGCAGGGGCTACAGCAACACCTCAACCACGAGGGACATCTTCTTCCTCCTTGTATATCAGCCCAGCGCCGCAGCAACCCAGCGTGGTGAGCAGCTCTCCGCTACCAAGCCAGCCATATCCTGTTGTCTCCCCAGCTACTCCACGACCTGCTTCTGAGCCCTTAACATCCAGGGAGCAGCGGATCGCAGTGCCAGCCCCCCGAACTGGCATCTTGCAGGAGGCTCGCCGGCGGGGCAGCAAGAAGCCCATGTTCAATACCATAGAAGAGAAGAAGAAGAATTCACCCAACCCTGAGCTTCTGTCTCTGGTGCAGAACCTGGATGAGAAACCCAAAGGCGACCACCCAGGGGCGGGCTTTGAGTCTGGTCCTGAGGAGGACTTTCTCAGCCTAGGAGCCGAGGCCTGCAACTTCATGCAGTCCTCAGGCCGCAAGTTCAAGGCCCCTCCCCCAGTGGCTCCTAAGCCTCAGCAGCAAGGTGCCTCTGCCGGACTAGTAAACGGTGCCCATGACATGCCACAGCTGAAGGGCAAAGGGGCAGAGCTTTTCGCCAAGCGACAGAGCCGCATGGACAAGTTTGTGGTGGAGGCAGCACCGAGGCCAGGCTCCAAGCCCAGGGCCCCCTCACCCACCCCTTCTCTACCATCATCATGGAAGTATTCATCCAACATCCGTGCCCCACCCCCAATAGCTTACAACCCCTTGCATTCCCCCTTCTACCCCCTAGCAGCAAGCAAGTCTCAGGCTAGCAAAGCAGAGAGCAAAGTGAAAAAGGCACCCAGCCAGAAATCGGGGATCAAGGCCATTGATTTCATGCGCCACCAACCCTACCAGCTAAAGTCGGCCATGTTCTGTTTTGGGGAGCCCCCCAGCACTGACACACAGAACCCTCCACCCCAGCCAGCCCAGCAGTCCAGCTTGTCTTTCACCCCAGCCAAGCAGGCGCCTGTGAAAACAGCCAGGACCTACGAGATCCGGCGGTTCTCCACACCTGCTCCCATGCCCACTTTGAGCAGCCTGGCACCCACAGTCCTCACTCCCCGCTCTGCCACCACACTGGATGAGCCAGTGTGGAAGACGGACATGACCTCCTCCGCACCCTCCACCCCTGCCCCTTTCCAGGCCGGTCCCAGCCAGGCCCCAAACCTGTACCAAAGCTCCCCAGAGCTCAGTCAGGTAGGCCAAGGGACTCCGCCATACCCAGCCTCCTCCTCCGGGTTCCAGGTAGCTAGACCCAGGTTCTCAGCAGCCAAAACTGGGATGCAGGCGCATGTGTGGAGGCCAGGCTCTGGGCACCAGTGAACCAGTAGCTGTCCCCTCTATCCCTCCCCCCATGGGCACGACTGGGTGCCTGACCAAGATAGTTTCCTTGGGTTTTCTTTAAAGTGAGCTCAATAAATTGGGGTGTGTGAAGCAAAAGGCAGAAAGGGGGGGGGACTCCCTTCAAAGCCCCCGTCCCCCTTTGTTTTCAGCCTGGCAGCATCACTATGAGCTTTCCCAGCTGTGGCTAGAGCCAGGGGACTCAGGAGGAAAAGAGAGACAGGGCGATAGTCTCCAGCCTGCTTCTGCCCACAGCTGCATGGCAATGAAACCCTGTCTCTGGGGCCAGGGGAATGGGAGGGACAGACTGTCATGCTAAGGGATAGGTAGCACTTTTCATCTCCAGTGGGCTTTAGAAACAAGTCTCTGTTAACCCTTTCAGTGCCCCAGTAAGGCAGGTGCCATCCCATCACTGCGGACAACAAGGCACTGTGCGCAGAAGGGTCCCATCCAGGCTCACATGGGAAGTGAGTGGCGGAGACATGACTGGAACCCAGGGTTGACCCCACCCCAGTGAAGTGAGAAATGAGACAGTGTTCCCCAGGCCTTCCTCTGTAGGGGAGCAGCAGGTGCTTTAGGGGACACTGGGACAGGAAGGGGATGTGGGCATCTACTCAGACTCACAGCACCTCTGCTCGCCCTGCTCAGGACAGCCATGGAGTGCTCATGGTCTTCCAGCAGCCAGGGTTGTGTTTGAGAAGCCAGCGGGGTCCCACCCTGGGAATTCCAGCTTCCTGGAGCCCTTCACCCAAGGAGGTGATCCCAGCTGGCTCCAAGCAGCAGAGGGCAGCTTGGAGGGCTGAAAGGTCGATGTGGGCCTGTGGTAAGTCTAGAGGAATGTGAGAGGGAAGGAGGGGTTTCCTGGGAAGCCAGAAGAGCAAAACGAGGCCCAGCTACTGACTGTTTAGTTCAGATGCTGTATGCGGGAGAGATGGTTCTGTGGGAGAGTGCAGGGCTAGCTTGTAATGGAGTTGGGGCTAACTTTAGATTCACATACCAGATTTTTGGGTCAGTCTCTGCTCTGGCAGGAGTTTTAGCTGCTGGAGTGGAGGCGATGAGCAATGTGAAGTTTCCTGAGGACTCTTTGCTCAGCTAGGGAGGTCGGCCCCTCACGTGGGCTGACCCAGCCCAGCTAGAAGCAATGGGGAGAAGAAGAGTAGTGCATGAGAAGTCTCATTAACTCAGAGCTTCCCTGGAGGGTTTGATAGTTACAGAATAGCCTAAAATCCCCTGGAAAGCATCAGTCACTCACCTGCACAGCTCTCCCCTGCTGGCACTGGGTGGTTAGTCATTCCTTTCATAGCTTGGTTTCAGGCAGGATGGCCGCAGACACCAAAGCTGTGCATGGACTCTTCCCTACACCAAGGACATGTGACAAGGGAGCACTCCCCTCCCCCAGGCAGCCCTGCAGGGTATCAGCAAGGGCCATGGGTGGGTGGTGCTGAGCTCTGGGTTGCACATTTCCTGCAGTCTGCCTTCCTGCTCTTCAACCTTGCCCCCTCCCTCTTGTTGCAGCTGCTTCCCTAGCCTGATCCTGCAGACAGGAGAAAGCATGCACGCTGCTGATGCCAAAGGGGTGGGTCACCACCATTGAATTCACAGCCCCCCCCTCCAGTGACCTCCAAGGACTGAGACTCTGAGACTAGGGCCATGACTGCCAGGGCCGGCTCCAGGGATTTGGCCGCCCCAAGCAGCCAAAAAAAAAAAAAAAAAGACCGCGATCGCGATCTGCGGCGGCAATTCGGCAGGAGGTCCTTTGCTCTCAGCGGGAGTGAGGGACCGTCCGCCGAATTGCCGCCGAATATCTGGACGTGCCGCCCCTCTCCGGAGCGGCCACCCCAAGCACCTGCTTGCCAGGCTGGTGCCTGGAGCCGGCCCTGATGACTGCACTACAGTGGCCTGGCTATAGTGCTGTTGCCATGCCACTGTAACCTCATTGAGTAGATGCGGACTACCACAGCGGAAGGGGGTTTTCCATTGCTGTAGGAACCTCCCCAACCAAAGGTAGCTAGGTTGACAGAAGCATTCTTCCATCTTTACCAGAGGTTAGGCTGCCATAGCTATGGTGCTCAGGAGTCTGGATTTTTCACACCGCTGAATGCCTCAGCTATGTTAACAGATGTGTTAAGTGTAGACCAGGCAGCTATGAACCCCTAGCCCAGGCTGTGAGCTGTCTCCAAGTCAGCAGACATGCTCCTTCCTTTGAATTCGGATTTGAGATTAAAGGAGACTGATCTAAAGCTTTGGGTCAGCAAAACTGGGTTCGGTTCAGGCAGAGAATTGAGCTCAGAGGAGAGCACAGAACAGCCCTGTCTCCACTGTCTGACCAAACTGGGTCTGAAAACAGTTTGGCTGGAACAGCACTTAAACCAAACCCAAACTCGCTTTCTACACGTGGTCTCAAGCCCAGTATGGCCAGGCCCTATGATGTAGGTCCCTTTGCAGTGAGAGACTAGAGCTCCTGCATGCCCCGTTGGTACGTGGTTCCAGAGCTTTCTGGTACCTCATCCCAATGGTCTTCTGGGACAGAGAGAGTGGGGGAACCTAACACAATGAGAGGCAGCTCTGTCATTGGGATAGATGGAACAAAATCAAAGTAAAATAAACATATTCTCATGCCAGCTCCATTCACATTTGCCCCAATCCAGCTGAGCCACTGTGTCCCAGCCCCAGAGCTTGTAGTGCACATTCCACTGGGGGCTCTGAGGCAGAAGCAACAGGACTGGAGGCAGTGGCAGCCTCTCCAGACTTCACTCACCAGCCCAGCAGCCACCAGCAGGGCTGAGGGGAACTTCCCAAAGGGCCCTTCGTTAATGAGCCATTGTGCAGCTCAGGTGATTTGCACCAGTGTCAGAGCCCCCAATATTAGCCTTGGCTGGGTGCGAGCAGCCATGCTGCGAGGCCCTACCTGAGTTAGTGTCCTCACTGGTCCTGCACTTTCCCATGTGTGTTGTTAGGACTTCAAGGGCCATAGCTCATGGCTTTCTGTGCGGCAGTAACCTGAGCTGCTGTGTGATTCTTTCCTAGAGCATTTGAGGAGAACTTGTCTCTCCTTCTGGGCACACAGGAGGAATTGGGGGAAGGTGCTGGAGGACTATCAGCACTCAAATGATTTAGTCCACACTGCAAAGTGGGTGGGTTAACAGCCCAAGTGAAAGCCTGACCTGGGCTTTAGTTTATAGACCCATGATGAGTTAATTAGCCCCAGTGGGAAGCACCATTAAACTCAGATAACAGCTAGAGTTTTGTGTGTGGACAGGCATGAGGTTGGGGCTGTGAAAAGCTTGAGTTAACTCCCTAGTGAAGACAGACATTAGAAAAGCAAGTGGTTGCTCTAATACCACTGGCTGTCAGAGAATTACCCAGAGGAGACTGGGCGTGTTCTCAGGGAGGGACTGTGTCGGGAGCTCTAGTTCAGCACACGAAGGTCTCAGGAAGAGTATCTGAAACTGGGATTAATGGTGATTTAATCTGACCTAGCTGGAATCCTAATATGGAGCAATGTACTAATGTGAGAGTAAGAGGTGAGAACAGGGAGGGTGGGGGTTGTGCATTGGATTAGGACTTTCACCCCTAGAAACCTGGAGTCAAATCCGTATTCAGAACCAAATTAGAGGAGTCTCAGATGGGTCTCAGCCTAGCGTTTTGCTGACATCAGTTCACGTCACATCCTGACCCCACCGTTGTCCACCTGTGTTCAGGCAAGGACCAGGATTGGAGCAGCAGGGGAAGCTGCAGGCCAAGACCGAGGGCTGCAATAGACATGAGGTGTGAGTCAGGATTGAGATGCATCCATCAGCTGAGCTGTACCTGGGGCCGGGAAGAAGTCTACACGGTGCCCGCCTGTACCATTGCTGGCTTCTGCCACTATTGCCAGCATCTATGCAGGAGAGACCCAGGGGTGTCACAGGACAGAATACAAGAGGTGCATTTTTAGCATGAGGTGGGATTCAGTGCAACTAAAGTGAGTCTCCTCCGAGGACTGCAGCTGGGCACTTACTGCTGTTATTTCACTACCTCACACCAGAGCAGGGAAAAAACTCCCCCAGGAAGTGGGGAGGAGTGGTTCATGGCTCCATCCCATAACTACTCTGGAGTAGCCAGTTACCCCTCTCATGACCACTTGCCGAAAGCAGGGCAGCTCGCTGTCACATGGGGGGCCCTCTAAAGGGTCAGGCACCAGCCTCTCTGTGACAAGCTTTGCTAAGGAGAATGAGCCAACCCAGATCTGCCTGGGGATGGTTAATGAGATGAGTAGTTGGATGGTAGTTAATTACTAACCGGACACTGGGGTCTGCAAGGGTTAGGAGTGCTCCATTCACAAATTAATGACCAGCTAATCATCCCATTAACCAGCCCTAGGCGAATCTGGGTTGGCTCATTCTCCGCAGTGGAGTTTGTCACAGGAGACTGGTGCCTGACCCCTCAGAGGGCCAGCCCCTGTGACTTCTGCCTGGAGCCTACCTTCATTGTAAAATTCACCAGCTGTTAAAGACGCCTATTTAGGCAGAAAGTCTGTGTAAAGTTCTAGCTCGCTGCCATGCTCCAGAGACAGGCCCAACCCTCACTGAGCATTTGGACACTTAGTGAGGGGTCCATTTTTTTGATCCCCATGGTTTTCCCTTCTCTCTCTGGCATGTTTGTAGGTTACAAAATTACAGGGATTGCAAGACAGGAAAGCTATTTAGGTCTCCCTGTATTTGGAATAGGAGAGCCCACTGTGGCATCCACCAGCAGAGGTAGTACTAGCCCATTGGGGGCCCTAAGCAGTAATATTTGTGCGCCCCAACACATAATAAAAAGGGAATGGGGGCCCCCTTGAGCTGCTCCGGGCCCTAAGCAATTGCTTAGTCTGCTTATGCCTAGCATTGATGGCTCTGAGCAGAAGCTTTGAGCTAATGGGCTGACTGAGGTGGAGATGTCGCATATGAGTCTGGTATGAAGAAGCAGCTGCCTTTGGTCACAGCAGCTGCTCCCGACTCCCCTCCCCTGAGTCTTGATGATAGGAGAGCAGGAACAAGATTAGGGAACAGCTGTGTGTGCCAGTGGGAAAGTGAGGATAGGCTGAGGACAGGCTTCCAAAGGAGGGCACAGGGGCTCCTGCCTACAGATAACTAGGGGCCTACCAAATTCATGGTCCATTTTGGTCAATTTCATGGTCATAGGATTTTAAAAATTGTAAATTTAATGATTTCAGCTACTAAAATCTGAAATTTCACGGTGTTGTAATTTCCGGGGTCCTGACCCAAAAGGGAGTGTGTGTGTGGGGGGGGGGTTGTTGCAGTACTGCTACCCTTACTTCTGCATTGCTGCTGGCAGCGTCACTGCCTTCAGAGCTGGGCAGCTGGAAAGTGGCAGCTGCTGTCCAGAAGCCCAGCTCTGAAGGCAGAGCTGCCAGTAGCAGCAGTGCAGAAGTAAGGGTGGCATGGTATGGTATTGCCACCCTTACTTCTGCGCTGCTGCCTGCAGAGCTTGGCCCTGTCAGCAGCTGCCATTCTCTGGCCGCCCAGCTCTGAAGGCAGCACAGAAGTAAGCAATACCGCAATCCCCCTAAAATAACCTTATGACACCCCTCCTCCCCCTGTGCAACTCCCTTTTGGGCAGGATCCCCAATTTGAGAAACACTGGTTTCCCCAGTGAAATCTGTATAGTATAGGGTAAAAGCACACAAAAGACCAGATTTCATGGGGGGAGAGCAGATTTCATGGTCTATGACACGTTTTTCACAGCCGTGAATTTGGTAGGGCCCTAAAGATAACCCATCACCTGCAGCAGAGCAGGTCTGTTCTCCAGTGGGATTCAGTGCCCCCTCTCTCTCCATAGCAGGAGTATTTGGGACTAGCTAGCTGGAGGACATTGCCATCCCCTCCCCAAACCTCTCTTCAGGGAGCTATGGGGTTTGTAGCTGCTCTTGACGGATAACAACTGAGATGTTGTTAGCTGTGCCCCGAAGGTAAGCAGTGTCATCTCCCTTTCACTTCCACACGTCCCTGGCCTAGGCACCACCGCACTAGGGACACCTGTAGGAACACTCCCTTTTGTTTTCTCATTTGTTTATCACACACTAGTCAGGTACAACCAAGGATTGTTCCCTAGCTAGATTTTGCTCCCCTCCTTCTGCAGGGTCTAGCAGTTCCCCTGTGCTCCTGGGAAGAAATTTGTCAGTGCTCAGAGAGGGGGACGGACCTGAGGTGATGACCGTGGAAGGAGAACCAAGTTTTGGTTTCTATATGTATGGAAATAGTTTTCTTTTGTGTTTTTGATTTACAGTCACTTTACACTTGTTTATGCAGAGGAATAAACTTCTGATATGCACTTTACCATTGCATTTGTCACTTGATTTGTTCAGATACTAGAGCTGCTAAATCACGCCCACCTTCCCTGCATATTCCATTTGAGCTCACTGTACAGAAAAACCACACAATGAAGATGAAATTATATTTTTTATTCCCTTTGATTTATAAAAGTCAAAGAAGTGCCCATTTAACATTCCAAGCAGCACATTTAAAACCGATGAAAGGAAATGTTATGGTTACAGAACCCGCAATTAGCCTGGGGAAACCATTGCCACAAGATATTGTTGAGGCTAAGAGATTAGCAGGAGTCAAGAAAAGGTCTGGAGATGTACATGGATGATGAGAACATCCACAGTTATAATAGGATTTAATACCTACATACATTTTAAAATAACAAAAATAACCTTGGTACTTCAGGTTTTAAAACCAACCACTGCCTGTTTGGGGTTGGGAAGAAACTTCCCCACAGGGCAGTGTCACAGTGTGGGCTGTACTTTCGGAGGAGTTGAAATCAGTCCCACTTGTATCTAGTTATCTGCCAGCTAGGTGATGGGGTTAGGTCAGGCAGCCAGACTTCATGTGATGGGAGCCTGGAACTGGGGCTTCCTGGGAACCTGGTCCCCCAGAGACTGAAGAGAGACACCAGAGACTAAGACAAGGATGGGGAGCCCCAGAGTGGGTCTGGCAGTGAGATCTGGGAAGTGGGGAGAGCATGTGCTGAGGCCTAATGTTCTGATATGAGGATAAAGAGGAGAGAGAAATCTTCAGGGAGGCATCTGCAGGAGCTCCAGGGTCAGGGAGGAGCAGGGAAGAAGTTATCACTAGCAGCCCGGGGGAAAGGCCTGGATGGAGCTACCTGCAGCGGGCAAAACCCTTAAGTGAGACTGCTGAGCCAGAGAAGGTGAGGAGATGCTAACTTTGGGCTAATGAACCACATCTCAGAAGGAGAGAGCTCTTCAATAGTGTAGCCAATTATTTTAGTTTGGTATCCATTTATCGCGTAATGTTATGATTAATCAATGTTATATTACATATATTCACTGTATGTTAATTAGAGTTGCTTTGTAGGATATAAAAGTATAAGATTAGTCAGTGTTTAGAGGAACTATGTAGTAGACATGAATAAGACAAGCTGAAATGCAAAAGCCTGTAGGCCAAGGCCTGCAAGACTCTAGCTTAGCTATTTTAGGCCTTGGAGACAAGAAGTGATGGCTCAAGACAATGACTGAGAAATAACCCAAAAGATGATGGGAAAGAGGTACTAATCGGTAACATTGTGAAAGTATAGCAGGGAAGATTAAAATTAAATCATAAAATGCTATAACAACAAATATTGTCTCTAACATGTGCCCTAACCGCAGACAAAGGTGGTACGTCAATGTTGACAAGAACTTACCCAGCCTATAGAACTTGGGGTCCCTTGTGTTTCCAGGGGACATAAACCAATAAGAAAGTGCGGATTGACACTTTCATTTACATGTGCAGCATGTAGGTATAGAAAGACTCACAGTATAAAAAGGGGTGCCCAGAGCAGGGAAATTGGGCTTCCTATGGGAACCTCCAGCAGGAACCACTCCCATATTGATGGTCAATCCACGAGAGGGCCAACAGACTCTAACACCATCTAGGAGGATGTGAGTATGTCTGTAGGTATAACTAGTTCACTATATGTATTTATAGGAATTGTATATGCTGTGACATTTATAGCTTTGTTGGTAACTTTAATAAAATTACTAAAAAGATAAATGCTCTTGTAATTGTATGTGTTATTTGCCTATAGTTTTATGTGTTCCTATGAACTCTAAATCTAGAACAAACAGAGGTAACTCTGTTGAACTTGAGACTGTAGCCACCAGAGCAGAACCCACTTAGATATGATTAACATTAAATAGAATAAAAGGCTACAATAGTGCCAGTTATGGAGCTTTGGTTTCCTGGGCAAAGAGAGAAACAGAGGCTGAGGCAGGGTCTAATGCTGGATGAGGCAAGATGTTGTTACAGGGAAATTATTCCGGAAGTGCCCATTCAGGGATTTCGTGCATCTTCCTCCGACGGATCTGGTGGTGACTACAGTCAGAGAGCAGACACTGGGCTCGATGGCCTTTGGGTCTGCTCTGGCAATTCCTGTGTCCTCTCTGGCTGAGCTCTTGGTCCACGCTGCTCCCCATAGTACAGTTGTGGGATACATTCTTTTCTCCTGTTCCAATATTAAAGGTGACCTGAAAGGGAGTTTTTTAAACGGGGCTTGTGCACTTGTGTGTGTGGGTGTCAAGTCTTTAACAAAGGCTTTCTTCATTCAAAAAACTTACGTAGGCATTGGAGTTAGATGGATATTAGTGAAAACAAACGGTCCAGATAGAAATCCCTTCCCCTCTCAGTTGCTCAACTTTCTCTCTCTTGGCTCTTTTGATATCACCCTTTTGCTAATTCTCCGCTTAAATAGGATGTGAATTTCTAGTATTCAAGGCTGATTTTTTTTAAAATATGCCTCTTTCAGCCTCTTCTTAAATCAACCATAAAGAAGCAATCATAAATCAACTCAACTCATTTTTCTTTGCAGATCACCTTTCAGGCAACCTTTCAGGGGGTTTTCATGAGCATTTCAGCGAGCTACTGAGCATCTCCCTCATCCTATTGTCCCATAGAGTGGAGATGCACAGACAGAAAAAAGCAGAGGTGAACTCATCTCTGACACATCTCTATGGGGAAGCAAAATGCCTGCAGATCACTCCCCCTGTTATTAATGGTGGCAGCCTCCATGACCCTGGGCAGCCACCTGAGAGCAATGCCTTGGGATGATTGCACATACAGATTAACTCTTGTGTGGGTGTTTTAATGAGCCAGGGAACTCAACAGCTGCTATTAGAATGAATGACGAAGGGCATGGAGTGAGATCAGGCACTGTATAATAAAAGTAGGTCTCTAGCACTGCAGGGCTGGAATTTTCATTATCTTTCTTTATCTTCCCACCCCCTCAGGTGTGTAGGGCGTCCACCAGTTTCCAGCATTTATTCTGGTCTTGTGATGGTGTGTTCAGGCTTCTGAATGTCATGTTGATGGATTTAGCTCCTTTCTCTACTGTTCTGTGTAATGTTTCTCTAGGTTGCCCTCCTCTCTCCATGGGGTGTCCATATTATCGCTTTCTGTGTCAGTTCCATTGGTGGTATCCTTATGTCCTAACGATGTTCATTGTTGTTGTTGTCTTATTATATTTGATGCTTTAGATTGGTTTGCTCTGCTTAGAATTTCTGATGTTGCAAAACCTCTTTCCAATGGATTCTTAGGCTCTTTCATGGGTATTTACTTTGGAATGAATTGATCTTATCAATTTCTGTGGTAGATTTCTGTGACTCTGCTCCATAAAGGAGGACAGACATGATGTTGGCATTAACAATTCGTATTTTGTGTCAGTGCCAATTATGCTGTAATGCTTCCATAGAAATCCCAAAAGGAAAGGTAATATTGAAATG